ATTTCGATAAAGTCCACCATGTGCTCAAGAGCAGGCACGGTGACTGAAGACAGACGAGATTATAGTGAAATAGACACACAACTGTCTACCTTACTCTTGCCCTTCTTCGCTTGAACCGGTGACAGGACCAAAGTCAAGATTACCGAGCAGGAATCGGTCTACGCCTGTAATACTGTGCACATCAAAACGGAATTTTATAACGCCAGTATATTGACATGGCCGATGTACTGTCGGTACAAAAGGAGTTGAGTATGCGGGACGTAGTTTTTTTGCTCTGATGAAGAGGCCAGCTTGCCTCCCTTCTATCTGGCTTTTTCGCACGCGCCTGAGCGCGTCCGATCCCATGACTGCCATAGCACGAATAGAGACTTACTGGAAAAAAATTTCATTTCGGAAATATTTTTTACCATTCTTCACGAATGTTCCGCTACTGGTCCTGACTATTTCTTCTGCAAATTCCATCGGAACATTGAATTAACAGCATTTGTAGGGTTATTCTCATTCAGAATTCCTTAAAAATCAACGTATCTTTGGGTCAAATAACAAAATTAGTATGACTGCGTGCAAAATAAATTGGGATTTTTAAATTTAGACTTTAAGACTCCTGACCAACAACAACAACAGCAAATACAACTGTTCGTATCTACGCACCTCCGACGAGAACCCAGTTTATCTGGATCTGGCTTTATTATCATTTGAAGTCCTATTTGACTGCTATTTGTTTGTGAAACATTTTTATTGTAAATGTTGTTAAGGTGCCTGAAGTGGTGATAGTCGCTTCGCAATAGATCCAGTGCATATACCGAATGCAACCTATCTCGTCAACCGTGTGTTCGAGCGCTTTTATGGAGGATTGTAGAACTCCTGAATTGTTTTAAACCGGACGTTTGTGGCTTAGCTTCTGGTTATTTTCATGGAGTCCGTTGCCCTTCTTCTTACGATGATGATTTCGTTTGGTTCTCGTGGATCCTGCCGACTGGAGATGATCGAACAGTAACAACAGCCGTCGTCTAAATCTAGTTTAGCGGAATGTTTTTGCGCTTAATCGCCATCGAGACACTCTTCTGGTTGTCGTTGCTCATCGTACTGGATCCATTTTTCGTGGTCACAATCCGTTAAAGAAGCCGGTCGTTCTTGTAAAAAAAAACCTACCACGTTGACTAATCTTTTGAATTTATTTCAGTTCTTATGGACTAATCTGTCTTTGTTCGCGTAATCAAAAAAATAGTTTCATGATCTGTCAAGATCTGTAATTTTTAGTATTTTTTTAAATCTTTCAGACAAAAATGTCGTTCAATAACTTCACAATAGAACATTTTCAGCAGTAAAGAGGCACTCTGTGACCTTTATTAAGTTGTTAGTGCACGAAAACTTCCTGTTACACAGTTGATACATCTTCATTTCATTTCGGATTCCTTTATTGATTGTCGAATTTTTCACTTGTATAACAAGACAGAGAATCTGACTTTTGATCCATGACATTTCCAGCCTGTTTGAAGACGGCAAATAGGTCAAAAGTAGCCGTTCCAGTTAGTCCTCTGTTTCTTGGTAATACCTCTTAATTAGATCCACGACCACGTTGATCGAGGTTATCTACCTTACAAGTTGCTTCACAGCAACCGTGATCGAGTTTGCTCGTCGACATGTGGTCTTGAAAGTTAAACACAAGGTACCCCCCAA